GGGCTGGGAAGGCGGATCCCAGCCCTGCACCTGTAGGGTTTCATCACCGAGGGTCACGGGCAGAGGGGACGCGGGGACACTCGCAGGGTCTGGCCTTGAGGGGAGCACTGAGGGCACGGCAAAATACTTGCAAAAATAAAACTACAAAGCCCCCCCGAGAGGGGCTGTGCCAGTGGTCCCACCAAAGCCCAGTGATAACCTCCCTGTCACCAGGGCTTAAGTTCACAGAGTGGCCGTGCCAGGCAGATAAAGGACCTGGAGCAATGGCACAGGCTCACCCCTGAAGGACAAAGCCCTTTCAGAGCTCCATCCACCTCTGTGTTCGCTTTCCTGCCCAGGGCTCTCAAAAAGAAAGGAAACACCTTTCTTTTGGTTGTTACTTGCCCATGGAGCCCCTCTCTGTGCCAGTTCCTTGTCTGATGTTACTCAGAGCACCCTGGAGTAGGATTTAAGGAGCACTTGTCAACCCCATCATTGTCCCCAGAGGTTACAAGGGTGCTTGTAAGCACCCAAAAGAGCTCGAGTCCACTTTTGATGGCATAAAGGTGGAGGGAGGGAGCTGCTCTGCTTGCCTTGGCTTTCAAAGTCATTCCAATTTTCTGCTTCCAGCTGGAAAAGGAGAAGCAGACTCTGCCAGCTTGGAAATAATTGAAGGTAAAATAATCAAAGTGACCCCAAACAAAACTGTGGTGTGCAGGAGCACACAAAAGCCAGGAATGGTTTGCAGTGAAGAATGGAGAGATGGCAAAAGTCTCGGCTGGATCTGTCCCCCTGCATTCAGAGGATTTGATCCGAGTTCACCTTTACCCAGGTGAGGATTACGTGGCCACTTATAGATGCAAGTGTCAGCCAGGGTTCAAATTAGGAGCAGGTGAGATCCTCAGCACCAAATCAGGCTGCCCAGAGCAAATTGCTCTTGGCACCCACGTACCAAAGAGAGCCTCTGCTGCCATGCAGAACGTTCCCATGGCACTGCCAGGGAAGGAAGGGCAGGAATGTCCTTGCCCAGCTGCTGGCCACCACCCTGCTGGCTCTTCCAGGCAGCTTAGCCCGGGGGGTGATGAAGCTCCTTGAGTGGCAGCCCCAAAGCACCACCATGGTGGGAGGCAGAGCCAAAACCTCCTGAAATTGGGGGTCTCCAAACCCCACGGTACCACAGCAGACCTGCAAAAGCCCTCTGCTTGGCTGGCAATTAGGATGTGGCCTTCCCACAGCTCCCACAGCAGAGAAATGTTAGGAAACCTCAACCCCAGCTGGAGAGAGGCCAGAATTTGATAAATTTAAGCTCTGTGACTTCGAAACTTGTGTTTGCTTGGCTGCAGGACCTCGGGGCAGGGCAAGCTGCAGTGAAGCAGCTCCTGCATATTGTTCCAAAACTGAAAAAAGCACTAAGCCATGAATCATGGCACGTCCCAGACAGCTCCCAAAGCCCTGCTCCCCTTCCCATCACAAACACAGCCATCCCAGGAGCCCTTCCAGCTCAGCTGTCCCCCTCCATCCCTGAGCCAGAGCCAGAGGAGTTAAACCCGATGCCTCACTCTGCAGTAGAACAATAATAAAAGAAAAAAGTAAAGAAAAAAAAAAAAAAGAAGAAGACAAGACAACAAGTTGGTTTTGAACACCCTTAAGGTAAAGATTTAAGAGGCAGCCCCAGCCCAGCCCTGAGCAGGAGCTGCTGGGACATGTCCTGCGCTCACTGCACGCTTACATAAGGCTCTGCAGCTCTGCAAACACCACGGGCTGAAGTGGGGCCCTGCCCGCTCCCTTCCACCCCGAGGCTCAGCCCACTCCCCTTTCCTTGCTGGCTCCCAAAGCTGGCCGAGCCTGAGTGCTGGGCTCCCCCTTCCCTTCCCAGAGCAGGGAGAGGGGCAGGACTCACAGCCTGGCACTCGCAGGGGAGGGAGAAGGTTGGGTTTTTTGCCAGAAAACTGAGTAAAAGGCAGCCCCAAAGGGGATGGGGGTGTTCTGGGCTAGGACAAGATGACCCTGATGGGACAGGGGGAGCTTTGGGATGAAGCTTTTTGCTGCAGATAGGGACCCATTGGCATCACACCACCAGACCACCAGAGGCTGAGCAGAGGTTTTGAGAGCAGAGCAACCCCTCTCTGCTCACAATCCCACCTCTCACGGGCAGAAATTCTTGCAAACTGCCTGGTGTTCAAAAGGGCCAAACTAGACCCACAGCAGCAGCAGCAATCTGACAAACAAGCCCCAAATACTCCCCGTATGTTGACACTGCTCCAACCTTTGCCCTTCCCATTCCCATCTGTGTTTGCTGATGAGGAGACCTTTCATGGCTGCTGTCCAAACCTGCAGAATTTGTCCTTGCGTCCACCAAGGGCAGGATTTTGACCAGACAAAGACACTGAGTGTGGTTTTGGGAAGCTGGTACCAGACATGGGTCTGGGACAGGATGAGGGGTGGCTTCCTCTGACCAGGCTGGGGTAGCCAAGAGAGCACCTCATCACTCCAAATCTCCTAGAGGGTCAATAATAAAAGCCATGGGGAAAGATCAAAATGTAGGGGGGTGCAGATGTGGGTACCAGCACCCCTCCTGGGCTGACACAGCTGCTCTGATGCCACTGCAGGGCTAAGCACCCCTTGCACTGAATGCAGGCTGCTCCCAGTGCCTTTGCAGGCGTATGGAGCAGTTAAGGCAAGTGGAATTCTGTAGGAATTTGGGATTTGAACGATAAATCACCTTAGGAGAGAGGGAGGCTTTGCCACACAAAGTCTGGGTTCAGTCATCAGTGGGCTCTGCTGTGCAGGCACTCCCTCAGCCCAGATGGGGTTTGGAGACAGCTCTGCTCATGCTCTGCTTGCTCTGAAGAAGCTACTTCTGGAATTTAAACCTCTCACAATCTCTCCTTTGGGGGGCATTAAGGTCCAAAGTATGATTTAATGAACTTCATCAAACTCCAATGTGAATCAATGCCCCAAAACTCACAGAAGGAGTTACAATGAGGAGTTCTTTATTTCCTTCAGCTGTCAGAGGGCTTTGAAGCTGCCCCACTTCCAAGGCTCCCACCCAAAAAGCACCAGATTAACGACCTGCCCTAGGCTAAGTCTGGCAGATCCCAGCTGGAGCCGGGTTAGGTGGTTCAAGCCCTGCCTCCTCCTGCAGCTTCATCTGCCTCCCGTGGCTCCCCAAACTCAGGGATGGCTCAGCAGAGCCACAGCAGAGGATGCAATACAGGCCATGAAGGGTGAGAACAGTCATGGAAAAGTGTATCCAAGAAAGAGACAAGTAGACATCATTTTATATCATAAACAGACACGTCACAACACACCAGGTAATTTTCCAGCTCGTACAGGGACAGAAGGGCCACGAGACCACAAGACCTTACAATGCATCAGCCAAGAGGGGTTAAAAACAGGGCCAGAGGGACATGCAGGGTCCTGAGCCTATTATGTACAAAAGTCCCACTGCTGCCTGTGGGAGGGGCCTCCACTGAGCCCAGATTTCCACAGCAAAGACATGTCCTGGTGTTACAAACCCCCACACTCGCCCGGAGACCAAGGGATGTTTCCCACGACACATGTCCCTCTTCAGACATCTGAGATTTTACTGCCAGGTGAACAAAATGAAAATCTGATGAAGGATGGGTTTGCAGTCAGGATAAATGTGAGTTTTGTTTCTTGCTCTCTCCCAGGAAAAGGCACCCCTGTCCCAGCTGGCTCCTTGTTCACACAGGGACCCACCAGGGCAGGAGAACTTCCCTTCTCACTCATTAGCCATGCTCACTAGCAATCCCTGGAGATGATCATAGAATCATGGAATGGTTTGGGTTGGAATGGACCTTAAAGCTCATCTCATTCCAGCCCCTTGCCATGGGCAGGGACACCTTCCACTATCCCAGGTTGCTCCCAACCTGGCCTGGAGCACTTCCAGGGATGGGGCAGTCACAGCTTCTCTGAGCAATTTGAATTTCTACAATTTTCTGTGCGTAGTGATGGATTCCTGCCCGAGCTGGGGTTGAGCTCTGCTGCCACTCAGTGTGGTGGGTACCCACTGGCTGTGTGATTTCCTTGCACCCTCTCCCTCTCCCCCCAGATCAGCACTGACCCTGCACCAGCTCAGTGACAACACACGGGCTACGAGTTAAATGCTACTGGGGCTGTCAAACCCTTTGGAAAACTGGGATTCCCCACCAATACTGACTCTTGCTTATTGCTGCATAATACACAACTGGCCCCCAAAAACAGCAGAGGCACCCTGTGCCCTGAGCCAGCAGCATCCCCACACCTGTGGGTGCCCCTGAGCCCAGCAGGGAAGCCACTTCCCAGCGCAGAGTTGATCCATGACACAGGGGCTCTGTCCCAGCCCTGTGTGCCTCAAAGCCACCAAAGTGCCCTTTTTGGTGGTGATCCCAAGGATGTGGCCCCAGAGAGCCGGGCACTGTGGGCTGTGCAAGAAGCTGCCCCTCTCTTTTGCAACTCAAAAGCCCAATCATTAATTGCTGGGTGGGAAAACGGAGGTGGAAAGCGGCCAAGGGACCTGCTGGTCTCATCCACGCATTTTTAAGGCATATTTTGCAGGAAGGGTGTGCTCCCATGTGACTCCGATGGCTGGAGCCAGCCGAGCTCCCTGTCATCCCAGCTGCAGCTCCCTGGGGGTGTGGGAGAGCAGCGGGAAAGGAGGAAAGAGGAAGATGAAAGCGGGACTCGCTGACATTTATTTGGTTTGTGCATCAGACTAAAGCAGCGTTTCCTCCTTCGGATCTCTGGCTCCAAAACAGCCCCAGGTGCTGGACGGGGACGGGGCTGTCTCACTTGGATGTGACACCCGAGTGACACTGGAGGAGGAGGAGGATGGACAGCTGCAAGGTTCAACGAGTTCCATCCGTGGCCTGCTTGGAAAAGGCATTTATTTTCTGTAAACCTCTGTCGTGATGTATAGAAAACTGGGAGAGGAGCGGGAGCTCGATCAAGTTTGAATCCTGGTGAGAGTTCTCCTTACAAAATGGTTAGGGGGGGGAAAAAAAAAAGGTGGCTTTGAAATCAAAACTGTCCAAAAAAAAAAAAAAAAAGCATTTCTGCTAGTTAAAAGCCTTTAACTAGAAGAAATGTTTGTGTTTTCTCCTTTACAAACATAGTGCATCTGCAATCACTGGGAATTTCGGTCCGTCTGGGAAAGGGCCTGTGCTGGGGCTATGAGAGGCTGCTGGTGTCCTGGGAGAGCCGGGAGCGGCGTCACATGTGTGCTTCGGAGGCCGGGCAGCCAGGCAGCAGCTCCCCGTTCACCACCGCCTCCGACACCAGCATCTTGTCTTTGCCAGAATCCAGGCGCTGCTTCTTCAGCATCCTCTGGTGGACCAGCGGCACCACGGAGAGCACCAGGCCGCCGATGATGGGCGGCACCCCCGCAAAGTAAAAGGCCGCGTCGTAATTCCCAAAATAATCATTGAGGTATCCTGGAAGAGAAGAAGGGTGATGTTAGAGCCTCGTCAGCCTAATGAGCTTGTTAGTCTAATGACCTGCTTGTTCCCTCCTTCGAGTGCAGCTTGCGTCACCCACCAGATCTGGGGAGATTTGGGTTTTTAAAATAATCTTTTTTTTCCGTTTGCATTTCTTGGCGTTTTTACGCCTTGGATTAAGAGATGTGTGCAGCCAACACTGTGCACCAAGGGAGTGGAGAAGGAAAGCCTCAGCCGTCCTTCCTGTTTCTCCAGAACAGGACACAACCGTCCACATCCCAGACAATCCCAAATGCAAGCTGAGACGTGTTAAACCCAACACCTCTTCCCAGAGGCTTGCCAGCCAAGAGGCAATGGGAAAGTGAGCAGGGGCTGTTCCTCTGCTGATTGTCTCCATTTGGAAGCCCTGCCCTTATGGATGTTTTATCTCCAGCTGTGAAATACACACTGCCAGTTACAAACAATAGCCAAGCCTTTAAAACCCAACAAGGTTCTACATTTGTCTGGCAAGTTCTAACACAGCCAGGCATCCTTGGAGAATAACACATGGCCATTGATCAGCTCTGGAAAATCCCTCTGAGTGTCTCCTGTGTGGATGCTTCCCTGGGGATTAGACCAATGCAAAAGGCCCCTTCACCCCGCAAGGCCCACTCAGGGGGTCCTGGTGCAGAATCCTCCCAGTGAGAGGTGTGTGACCCCCATGTTCCGTCCCAAGGGTGTTAGAGTGAACTTTGCTGCTGGAAGCAGAGAGATCAGAGGTGCTTATCCAGCTTTGGCTTAGCGCTGCTGATGCAGAGGTCCTGCTGTTCAGGGGCAGAGCCCTGGCAGAGCCTCTGGCAGAGCCCTCGCTGTTAAGGATGCTGGGGTTGTTGCTGTGCTGGAACACAGACCCAGGTCTTGTGGAGGTTCAGGTGTCTCCATCTCTAACTTCAATTCGATCTAAAAGGACTTCTAGAAAATTATTATCTGCCAATTTTTAGCTCAGCTGCAAACAGAAATCACTTAATGTGACCTTGGCTCACTGTTCTCCCAATGACCACCTTTCATTAGCCTTGAGAAAAGCCCTGAGATGGCACAGGACATAGCATGGAGTGATGCCACCCCCATTCCCCAACCTCCACATGACCTGATAAACCAGAGAATTCAAACCAGTGCTTCTGGTCTCGCACCAAACCACCACCACAGGTGAAAGCTGCCACCACCAAATCCCTCCCACCCGCTGGGTCCTGGTCCAGCCCCGTGGTGTTACCAACCTGCAATGGGTGTGCCCGCAGTCATGGGCACGGCCATCAGCCCCATGAGGTACCCTATGGCCTGGGACGCCTGCATGGGCCCCACCAGCTCGAAGGCGATGGGGGCCATGATGGTGGTGAAGAAGCCGTCGCAGAGGCCAAGGAAGAGGCAGATGACAATGACGCCCTCGAAGCCTCGGCACTGGGGGATCATCATGCACAGGAGGCCCAACAGCATGAAGGACGCAACCTGGGGGAACAGAAGTGGGCATGAGAGTGGGGATGGGCAGCAGAAGAGTCATGGAGATGACACTGAACAGGTCAATGTCACTGCTCCCTCCCCTGGACCCAGCAAAGCCATCCAGCCACCGCTCCTGTCTCGGGGAGGCCCTTAAGAATAACCTTTTAAGAAGGGTTAAGAAGGATTAACTGCTGGATTAGCTGCTAGATTTCAGCAGTTTGTTCTTCAAAAACCACAAGGAGGTTATAGGGTGTCGGTAGTTTGGGAAGAGTGGCTACCATGGAGTTTGATTGCTGAACAGACACCAGTCCCTGGGGTCAAGTGTGTAACTCCTCTTACACACTTCTGCAGCCAATTTTCTTCCCTCACAGCAGACAATGGTTGGTAAAGGCTTTGTGATTGACAGTTATTAAGCAGAGCATGGACACCCATGTAGAGATACCATCCCTGCCCCACTGTGGTTGGCCAGCACCTCCATGGACGGCTGGACACACCGTACCTGCAGGTAAATCACACCATACCTGCAGGTAAATCACACCATACCTGCAGGTAAATCTTCTTCAGCCCGGGAATGCAGTCGCCAATGCGGCCCGAAACCAAGCGCCCCAGCCCCGACATGGCCCCGAGGCAAACCAGGAGGATCCAGTCCTTTTTGGTTTCCTGAAATCGCTTCTCCACATATTTGACCTAGGATGGAAGGAAGAACACAAGGACATGAAGCTGCAGTACATTCATCTCTCTCATCTCCCCAAAAGGGATGGGATTTCCTGCAGAGGGCTCATGGATTTGGGCTGGTTGTGTGACCCTCGTGTCCACACCACACTGACCTGCACCCTCCACCCACCCCAAACTCAACAGGACCTTCTTCTCCTCCTCTCCTGCTACTGGTGCTGGTCCTTAGGAGCTCTGGGAAGTGACCCTGGCCTACTCTGGCACAGAGGGCACAGAGAGGACACACAAAACCATATCTATCACAATTCTTGTTTAAAGGATGTGCACCAGTTTCTTGGCTTCAAGGCTTTTGGTGCCTCTGCCCCTACTGCCCATCCCCACCTTCCCACCTCCTCCTCACTCTGGGCAAAGGGACCTCCCTCCCCTTCCAACCCCAGCCATGGCTCTCACCAGGTTCATGTAAGGTACGAGGTATCCCAGGACAGCAGTAGCGATCCCAAAGGCCCAAATCCGATAGGTCTTTCTCCGGAAAACCCTCAGGTTGAAATACTTGCGGGTCTGGGCCCAGCACTGCTGCCTCATGCTCCGGCTGCCCATCTTGTCGTGCCCGTCGTGCTGAGAGTCACAAGAAGGCGTCAGGATGGGCCGGTAAGTCATGGACAAGAAGATCTGGATGAGCATTAAGGCACTGAGTACTTGGAAAGTGTGTGCCAGCCCGATGGCACCCCCGACCATCTTCAGGAAGAAGGGGAGCGGCACGGAGATGAGGCAGCTGCCCCCGGCCACGATGCCGTTGGCCAGGCCCAGGCGGCGCTTGAAGTAGTGACCGAGGATGACCAGCGAGGGCTGGAAGGCAAAGGAGCTGCCACAGCCAAAGAGGATCCCATATGTGAAATAACGGACTTCCAGGGACCTGGAATGACACACGTGGGAGTGGGGATGTGAGGCAGAGGTGAGGAAGCCTCCTCCCCCATGGTCCTACAAAGGCCCGGGTCTCACATGCCACAGGTACTGCACAGACAGTCTGACCTCGAGGAGCTTATCCCCTCACCAAAACCAGGATAATCCTCACCTAACAGCTGGCACATGAAATCTGCAGCAAAATGAAGTGGAGCTGGGAAGTGCTTTCTGCCACCAGGAGAAGGCAGCAGCCAACCTGGCCTCCTTGGGAAGCTGGCCTTACTTCAATGGTTATTAAATTACAGCAAACAAGATTTTCTAAGGTAGGGATGGTGGGATATTTTTAGCTAGAATTCCTTTTAATTTTTCCACTGAAAGGACTGACTGAAAACATTCTCCACCCAGTGTTTGGAAGCAGAAGGCACCAACCCTGCTGGTTATTAGGCATGCAGGAAGGAAATGTGGTGTTTCTGCCCAGGCTCCAGGCTGGTTAATTAAGCTCTTCTTCTTTAAGCTCTTCTGGGAGCTTTAATTAGACAGTTAATAGATCTCATCTGTACCTTACATTGGTGGCTGCACTCGAAGAGGGAGTGAAGTGGCTGTTCTACAGAGCAGATGGAGAGTGCTGAAAGCTCTTGGAAGGAGCTGCCTCCAAATTTCCAGCCCAACTTTCCCAACAGAGGCAGCTGACAAAGGAGCCTGGATTTAGGCAGTACAAACAACCTGTTGTGTTTCTTTCCAGATGAAGGAATTTTTTTTCTTCATTCCCATGCAATCCATCCAGCTGCAGAGGTCTGCCATGGGATACTGCCTGGGAGGAAAGTGTGAGGAAAACCTTTGGGCAGCTCAGGGTCTTGTACAAGCAGGGTCTGTGCTCCAATCCTTGGAGCAAGACTGAGTGCTGCTCCCAAAGCAAGTGAGGAAACAGCAGCCCACATCTCCCAGAGAGGCTGGAAGTTGGGAAAACCTTTACAAGCACATCATGCCTTCCATTACATGCTCATCCCTCCGGCCTGCCAAGCAGAAAGCAGAACACGGCTGCTGTGCCTGACAGCGCCGAGACGAATGACCATCATGAAAGGCAATTTCCATCCACTCCAGAGCAAAACCACATCAGAAGCCCCCTCTGTGGGAGCCAGGCGAGCAGCTGGGCCCTGTGGGCCGTGCCCAACCTCCCACGCACCAGCCCTGGCCTGGTCACAGCAGCCCTGGTGCCGCAGGCAATGCCACAGTTCCCATCTGCTCCCCAGTGATGCTCAGACACCCCTGCATGAGCAGAGCCTCCTTTCAGCCATAAGCTGAAAAAAAAGAGCCAGGATTTCCCAGCCTGCTTATTGGGAATCAGCCAGCAGTTGTCTGGGGGAAGGGTTGCATTGTCCCCTCAGATTGTGAGGTTGCCAATGGATAATTGTTTCTCCTGGGACAAAGAGGTCTCCCTCCTGCTCCCAGCTCTCAGTGGGAACAGCCCTGGTTCATCCTTGCTGGCAGAAGTTTGGGGGATTCCTCTGTGCAGCAGTAAGTGGGCAAAAATTGTGTAGGGGAAGGAGAAGCAGATGAAAAGGGGCCCAACCCTCCCTGCAGAACACTTAGTGCAGAGGAGGAGGGCTGGGAGGGCTCTGGGGGCATGTGAAGACAGCCTTGCTGAGCTGGCCATCTTCTCCCATTCCCCATGCTAAACCAACCCCCTTAAACTGGAGGGAAGCTAAAGCCTTAACTGGGATTTCTCTTTTGCTGAGAGCACACAAGGTCTCTGGTGGCTTGAGCTGGTTACAAGTGCAGGAGACACCTCAGAGCAAGGCAGCAGAGAAGAAAAGCCTTGCACTGACCCCATCCAGCCTTCCCCAGAGCTTTGCTTTTCAGCACAGTTGGTTTCTTTAGTGGTCTACATACAAAATTCCCAATATTTTGAGACAAGAGGCACTGAGCTGGGTGCTGGGGTGTTACCACACAGTCTTGGTGGCTCAGGGGGCTTTTGGAGCAGCTCAGTGCAATGCTGGGAACTGCTGCTCCTCCATTTGGACAAAATAAACCCATTTTAGAGAAACTAGGAGATAAAGGGGGGGGTGATTCTTGATCCAGCTCTGCCTGAGCCCACCTAACCAGGCTGTGTCTCTCTGCACCAGTGCTTGTATCACAGGGGAATGATCTCCAGCTGCGGTGGAGGGACTTGCCAGGAGGGACCAAAAAAAAGCTTCTCCATTGTGCAGGGAGAGCTGGAGCCACAAGCCCCGAATTTCAGGAGCAGCCTTCACCATCCGGGTGGAGCACTGCCAAATCCCACAGCCTCCCTGCTCTTCCTCCGGCCCCGCGCGCTCGGCTCTGCCGGCGCAGCTTCCCTCGCTGTGGTCCAGCTGCAAAGGGGCTCCTTTCTCCCGTAAAAGGCAGCCAGAGGAATGTGGTCCGAGAGTGAGAGGCAGGAAATGGGGATCTCAGTCCTGTAGCTCTCCTGGAAATGATGTTCCTCTCTGCCTGCACTGTTTGATTTTTTCTTCTTTTTTGAAGCCCAACACAACAAACCCCTGGCAGCAGTGTGGTCCCACAAGCCCTTTTTCTTTGCACAAACATTTTACAATAGAGGGGGAAAAAAGTCCAAGTTTTGTTGATTGGAAGGAAAGCAGAATCACATGGGAAGCTCCTGTGATCTGCATGCCAGGGCACAGCTTCCCTCAGGACCCACTGCACCTTTTGCCATTATCTTTGGAAGCAGAAAGGGTGGCACTTGAGGAGGACGCTGCAGACGCCAGTTCCTTCCCAAGATGGTTTTGGCAACACAAAAATCCCATCTGCAATTAGCCACGGTCCTGGGGGGTTTTCCTGGGGATCAGAACTGATCCCCACTCCCAGCATGATGGGGGGATCCCACAGATGAGGACTTGGGGATCCAGGGAAGCAGGGCTGGGACGAGCACAAGGGTTTCACTGACCAGGAGGAGCACAGCACAGGCAAGTCACCCTCTGGAAAACTGGTGTGTATTTGCTTTAAAAACCCACTCCTTGAAGCATTTTAATTAAAACAATATTGATTTTAACTGAAATCCAACCCAAAGCAATGTTTTGATTCAGAAAAGTGGGGCAAATCCTGCTTTGGAGGTGTCTCCATGGAGCCTCTGAGACTGTGTTTAATAAGTGTCACATAAATTACCCCAGAGGTGACCTCTTTTTGCTCCCACAACGATGCCAGCCCTGATTTCTGGGCTGGAAAGACACACACGGTACACCTGCCACTGGCCAGTGCCTGCCAGCAGAAATTCATGGCATGGGATCAGGCATGGAAAACAAGGAGCAGCAGTGGACCTGTGTTGCCGCAGACACACGAGCCAGGGCAGGAACACCACAAACTGCTCCAAACCCTGTCTGCCTTCCCCTTCCTGTCTGCCCTGCACAGAAACTCCCTCTTAGGCGCAATCCACCAAATATTATTTTAAGCATTAATTTACTTTCAGCACCAAATGTGAAAATGGTTGCAAAGTAGAATGGTTTTCTCTGTGAGTGCCTTTCTGGAGCTGCCCGTGAGAGGCACACCAACCTCTCCTGCTGTTTCAAAGATCAAATGAGGGACCTGGGTGCTGAAGTCCCAGAAAATACAGTCCCTTGCTTGGGTAAAATTCGCTCTCATTTTACCTAAGGACACAAGGTTCAGTTTGGAGGGGAACAGGCTGAGCACACGTGGGCTGTAGGGTGCCAGGACATCTCTCATGCAGATGGGCACCACCTGCTTTGCCCCCAGAGGCAGCAGCAATGTGTTGGCAGGGGGATTGCAGGGAACAGGGAGGAAGAGGAGCTCTCCAAGGAGCTGGGTATGCCCTCCACAGCCTTACTTGGTGAAGGAGCTGGAGAGGAGCCCGATGAAGGCGATGGTAGCTCCCATGGCCGCCGTGGTCCTGCAGCCGATCCGGTCGGTGAAGATGCTGACGATGGGAGAGCAGAAAAAAATCATTCCCATGGCCAGGGAGCCGACCCACGCTGGGGAGAGAGAGGAGAAAGGAGATGGTCAGGGTGGGACACCCAGCAGAGGCAGGGGAAATCAATCAAGCGCAGCTTTGGAGGTGTCTTGGCAGAGAGGCAGCCCCATCACACAGTTAATTAGCCGTGTTAAGTGCTGTTAATTAACAGTGCAACTCATAAATGACACAGAGAGCTGGTGGCACTGCATATGGGGCACAATAATGGAGTATGGACAGGTTTTCCTTGCATTCCTCTCTGCTGGGTTACTGTGTCCCAGAGAAGGCACCAAGTTTCAATGCTCTTTCCAAACAACCTTGGCTTCACACGGGAAGATGCTCCACTGGCAGCACTTCCATCAGGAATCTCCACAGCCAAAAGCCTCCTGAGCTCCTCCAAGCCCTTTGCTCCCCAGCTTTGGCTAGGGAGAGGTTCCTGTCCAAAGCCACAGCCCTGCATCCCCAGGGAGCATATCACCCACCCCTCCCTCACTCCCCAGAGTCAGCACTCCTCACCTTCCCCTCTCCCCACGGTCAGTAAGGATTCCTCGTTGCATCTGAGCTGATGGACACACATGTTTATCCCAGGTTAAATTCCACCCCTGACCTTGCCAGGCAATGCCCAAGTGGGACCATCATATCCTGTCTCCTTCCAGCCCACTGTGGAGAAAACCACTGTCTGTCTGTCTGTCCTTTTTCCAGAAATGTTAATTATTCACAGATTTTTTTTTTTCTTTTTCAGCCCATCATGGAATCATTAAGGTTAGAAAAGCCTTTTAAGATCCTCAAGTCCAACCATTCCCCCAGCAGTGCCAAGCCCATCACTAACCCATGTTCCCAAGTGCCACATCCACATAGTTTTTCATTCCCTCCAGGGACAATGATTCCATCGCTGCCCTGAGCAGCCTGTGCCAGTGCTTGACCAGCCTTTCAGTGAAGAAATTTTTCCTAATATTGAATCTAAACCTCTCCTGGCACAACTTGAGGCCATATCTTTTTGTCCACCATCTTCTCCCTGCCCTCCACCTTCTCCTTTTAATGGTTTGTGTGATTATTTTGGGGAGGAAATGCAGGATTTCAAGAAAAGAAAAGTGGTAAGAAAAATAATTTCTAAGGAGAAGCAAGAGGTCCCCTGGGTGGTGTGTGGGGCAGAGTGGGATGGACAGAGGGACAAGGGGTTCCCAGCCCCACCTGGCACCAAAGTGGGGGGACCTCCTGGAGCATCTCCAAGCTCCAGGTGCTGGCTCTGGTTCAAGACCAACCCCAGGACACGTGGTCCTTTTACCTTTTTTTATCCCTTTTTTAGGTTTGCTTTGGGGTTTTTTTGCACCCAGGCCAAGGGCTCTGCAAACCTTTTGAGCAGCCTGTGCCAGTGCTTGACCAGCCTTTTAGTGAAGAAATTTTTCCTAATATTGAATCTAAACCTCTCCTGGCACAACCTGAGGCCATTTCTTTTTGTCCACCATCTTCTCCCTGCCCTCCACCTTCTCCTTTTAATGGTTTGTGTGATTATTTTGGGGAGGAAATGCAGGATTTCAAGAAAAGAAAAGTGGTAAGAAAAAGAATTTCTAAGGAGAAGCAAGAGGTCCCCTGGGTGGTGTGTGGGGCAGAGTGGGATGGACAGAGGGACAAGGGGTTCCCAGCCCCACCTGGCACCAAAGTGGGGGGACCTCCTGGAGCATCTCCAAGCTCCAGGTGCTGGCTCTGGTTCAAGACCAACCCCAGGACACGTGGTCCTTTTACCTTTTTTTATCCCTTTTTTAGGTTTGCTTTGGGGTTTTTTTGCACCCAGGCCAAGGGCTCTGCAAACCTTTTCATCACATCCCTGCATAAAAACACCCTCATAGTCCTTCCAGAGCTGTGAGATCTTCAAAAAATAGCCAGGTCCCTATTAAAAGCAAATCCCAGCTATAGAACAGCCTCTCCAACCTCTGCCTTTCACAAAAGGACCACACAAAGAAGCCCTCCCCAGGCTGGGAAGAACTGACCCTTCCAAATTAATTATAAGTTCACAAGTACCCAATTTACTTCAAAATCTTCCTTAATAAATGCAGAGTGGAGCAATAAAATGAAAAGCAAGGGCTGAGCAGGAACCTCGTGGGACCGGCTGGGCTCTCGTCTCAACTCCAGGCCAAAAGACGGGAGAGGGGAAGGGAGAGGACCCCCCTCTCCAGCTGATTTTCTTGGTTCTGAACACAAGGCACAGTGTAACGAAAGTCCCTCTAATAGGATTAGGTGGCATGGATCCAAAGAGCCGTCCAAAACAGCTCCGAGAGGGGGAGAGGGGTGGGAGCCACGCCAAGATGGGAAAGGCTCGTTAAATTGGATAATATACTTCCAGAAATGTTCCTTCTACTCCAGCCAAGGCAGTAAAACGTTAGATGGCCCCGTCATGTTTGAAGTTTGTTATTTTTGGAAATTACTTTAAGAAACGCGGAAATAAAAGCATAAAGCGGAGTATTAAATTTAAAGGGCCAGATTCGGATCTTAATAACCCGGGGATTTACATGCAAATAGGCAGGATCAATCTCTGGCCCCAAAAATGCACACTCACCTGCAGAGATCAAAGCAAACCCAGGGCAGGAGGCTCAGCAACAGGCGCTTAAAAGTTCCTCCAGCTCTGGGTTTGTAAAAAGGAGATATCTCTCAATTAAAATTGGTAAACACACCAAAAAAAAAAAAAAAAAAAGAATCCTGTGGCAAATTGCTCTACCTTAGAGAAAGGGCTTACCACAAGCAATGAATAAAAATAGGCTTGGGGAAGAACATCCAGTTAAAATTAGTAAGAACAATAGCCTCACTTCCAGAGCGGGGTTTTGTCTTCCCAGCGCTTCCCAGCGAAGCCCCGGGAAGCCGGGAGGGCAGGGCCTGCTCCAGCGCTGGAAGGAAACCTCGGCAAAATCTGGGGGCAGCTCAAACTCGCCTCGGTGCCGGCTCCCATCCCGGCTGATTCACACCAGAACACCCCCGCAGCGGAGGGGAGGCACGGTTTTCCCCCTGTTTTATCCACGGTGATCTCCATTCACCTGGGATGGGGCAAGGATGGAGGGAGGTGATGGCAGAAAAGCACAGGTTGGGAAAGAAATGGAGCTCAGGTGAAGGCTAGCCCCAGTCCCACCCCTTTGGGCATAGTCCTTGGATCAACTCCAGGAAAAGAAGGGCTTGTTTTGGGCAATCTGTGGTGTTGAAGTTTCTCCTGGATTTTGCTGGATGTGAAGAGCAGAGGCAGCCATTCCTCCAGTGGAAACCAGGCAGGGCTCAGCACCTTCCCTCCTACAGCTTCTCCAGTGCTGGAGAAGTTACCCCTGGTTTAAAGCCACAGTGGAAAAAAGGGGGAGAATTTCTGCTCCTGATTTCCAGAGGGTTTGGATGGGATGGTTAATTCCCAGCCTGGCCACACCTCCCACCCTCTGTGGCTGATAAGCTGGGTGAGATATGGAAACACACAGACAAGCCCCCACATGAGGCACAGAGTCTTATCAAGCACATCCTAAAAGAAGCTATGGAGAGAATCCAGCTGAGGATAAGGCTGGAAGAAGCTCAGGAGCTGCCAGAACTTTGACTGAGATCGGGTTAAGACTTGATTGTATTTTAGGGTGCTGTGAGTCCAACCAGCTCCTGGAAGCACCAGCTGAAGGGGCTGGTTTTGGAGATGGGGGCCATGGGGGGACCTGGCTGGTGGCAGGGATGTCCTGACAAAAACAACTTGACAGATGACATGCAAGAGATGTCTTGACAGAAACACAAAATGCTCCAGAAACCGTATTTCTAGATTAAGAAAACCACAAAAGGCATGAAAGCACTCTGCTTTTGGTGATGGGAAATGCACATGACTTCTGATTTGGGGGTTGCTGACACGAGAGGTGACTCAAGGTGTGTTGTGCCTCCCTGACAGCCACCTCTCTGCTGACTTTATTTGGCACTGAGAGTTCCATTGAGCCAAGACCTGTCCATCCCTCCCTGCTCCCACCACAGCCCCTCCTGAAGGGATTGAAGGAGCCGAGGAGCCAGGACCCCCCCAGGGCACACCCTCTGCTCCAGGGGGCTGGGGGACAGCACCAGCCCCAGCTGCCACCCCAGCTCAAGCCTCCTACAGAGCTAGTGGAACGTCCCTGGTGGTCCTAGGGATGCTCTGGGCCAGGGGAAGAGCTCAGTGTGGGGCTGGTGCTGCTTTGCTGGAGCAGAGTTGTTGACCAAGGAGAACATTCCACCAGCAGCTCTCACACAAAGGAGAAAGCTCCAGCTAAAGCTCCACAAATTCTTCCCTCCCCCTTTGACATAACAAAGGCAGCCAAGCTGGTGGCCCATGGCTGATCCAAAGCAATGTGGCCTTCAGCATGGACAGGGAATGCAGTGGTTGAAGTTCTCCAAGGGGAACAGTGATTCAATGGTCTAAGAGATCACAGAATCATAAAATCAGAAGGGTTGGGGTTGGAAGGGACCTTAAAGATCATCCAGTTCTACCCCCTGCCATGGGTAGGGACACCTTCCACTATCCCAGGGCTCTCCAAGTCCCATCTAACCTGGTCTTGGACACTTCCAGCTGTTGCAGTAGCATGGCCAGGATGATCCATCCCCCCAACACCACCCACCCTGGGTTCAGGACAGAGGGAAAACTGGTGAGGTGACCCATTTGCCCACCAACCCATTTGCCCACCAGCCCAACAGCACCAAGCTGTGTCCATAGTGGAGGAGGGACCAGGAATGCTTTGGTCACCTTCTCCTCCTACTACCAGTGGATGACAAAGTTCGGGGGACGCTGAGGCAGAGGAGGGAGGTTGGGGGACTCAGCTCCCCCTGCAGTGGGACTGGTGATGCTGAGGGGTCCCTGAGGGCTGTGAGCACCATGTCTGTGTGTTCGCGGTGGGCAGGGCCCCCAGGGTCAGTCCAGGTGGTCCCACCTGGATACCAGACCAACTTTCTTTCCAGCAGGACCATCCAACAGGATGACAAACTTCCCCTGTTGCTGGCATTTTCCAAAGCAGAAAAAGGTTTCTGAGAGCAGAGCAAGGTAGGAGCAGG